GAGAGGTCTCTAAAAAGCAACTATAGATTTACACATGGAAACTTCCACTGGAATGGAAACTTGAAAAGTACACTGCAACTCGAGCACTTGGACACAAGAAGCTACCAAGAGGCAAAGCAGATGCCTGTTGAAGACTTCAAGGGTATCTATGGGCAAGAACTAAATCTGTATTGAATTTCCACAAGTTCTATCCCATTCCTAATATACAGTACAGTAAACTCATTGGGGGGAATATATCAAACTTGGAGCAGAGAAAATCTGGAGCAGCTGTGCAGCTTCTCTTTTATTTTTAAATCTTAACTGAGGAGAGAAGCTGATTGGTTACCATGCACAGCTGCTCCAGATTTTATCTCCACCCCCCATTGTGTTCAAGAAACCAGTTTGAGATGATTTTAGCTTGGTGATATGGCGCGTTACCCTGCTGGAAGTAGCCATCAGAAGGTGGGCACACTGTGGTCATACAAAGATGGAGAAGGTCCGCAACAATACTCAAGTAGGATGTGTCCTTTAACCCTTTCGCTGCCAAGGCCTTTTTTACACGTTATAATCCACATTTTAGGCCTGAAAATGACTTAAACCCCCCCCCCAAACATAGATTTCCTGAAAGCGAAGACCCTGTAGAATAAAATGGTGACCGTTGCCAAATTTTACGTTGCACGATGTTAGCGCAACCCTAGCAAACCCGAACATTTAGTAAAAAATGCACTTAAAGTAAATTTTTGTGCCTGAAAGCACAATATAACACCCAATATAAAAGATGAGGTTATGACAAGTAAATAGATACCCAACATGACCAATTAAAAATTACGTGCGTCCGTGAAATGGATAAGGTACTTCAAATTGTTCATGCTCTAAAAAGCCTGTATAGGTCATTAGAAATCTCCGTGAATATTGGCCCTTGAATTATTGGTCGCTCTGGCGCACGCGGCGATACCGAACATGTAGCGCGAGCATTGCTTTCGTACATAGGTGCACCCAATGCAAGTTTACGTGAATACGCTCGCCGAGAGGGACTTTAATCTTTTCTTTAAAACTTTTTTTTTTTACTTAATTGCTATCACATAGGTGGGCTTACAAGCCCGGTATGTGATAGCATGCTAGTGGTGACAGGTACTCTTTAAGGTGACATAAGGGGCCAACTGTCTTGTAGTGATATGCA